AGTAAGACAGCAAGCTGCTGGCCCAAGACCCAAGAACTGGAGGTCAGATACTAATGAGCCAAATGCAGGATCAAGAGCAGAGCAAAAGCCAGCGAGCTTTCCCAGAAGATCCACATATATTGGATGCAGGCCATACTCCCATGAGACTCCCTTTCAACTGATTAGCTACTCATAGCAGATCCCATCATGGAGGTGATTATATCCTTAGACAACTGCCAAACTACATCATAACTGCCAAATCACTGAGAATCATGGCCCAGCCAAGTTGACACACACAACCTTAACAATCACACTGCCTTACTCCTACTAGAATGGCAATGATCAAAAAACAGAAAATAACAAATGTTGGTGAGGATATGGGAAGATCAGAATTCTTATCTCCTGCTGGTAGGAATGTACAATGGTACAGTATCTGTGGAAAAGTCTGGCAGTTCCTCAAAAGACTAGAGGTAAAGCTGCCATATGACCCAGCAATTCCACTCCTAGGGTATATACACTAGGGATCTAATAGAAGTGACATGAATAGACATGCGCATACCTACATTCATTGCAGCGCTATTCACAATAGCAAAAAACTGGAAACAATCTAAGTGATGAATCCCGATCAAAAGGGTAAGATGGAACAGAATTTCAAATTCTTACCGAATCCAGACTTACAAAATGTGGTATATATATACAATGGCATAATACTCAGCTATAAAGAAAAATGAAGTCCTGATACATGCTACAACATGGATGGACCTCAAAAACATTATGCTGAGTGAGATAAGTCAGTCACAAAAGGACAAATACTGTATGACCTCGCTTATATGAAAAGACAAGAATAAGTAAATATATAGAGACCAGTGGCTATTAGTGGTTACCTGGGGCAGGAGGTTGGAAGGAGATAGGAGATTATTCTCCAGAAGTAATTGATTTATGTTTATGGTGATAGGGAAATTGGCATTGATTAAGGGTAATGACTGCACAACTTGATGACTGTAACTGATATCACTAAGTTGTACGCCAGAAATAAGGTGAAATATCAAATACTGTCTTATATATAGTTTTACAACAGCAACCAAAAATAAAACAAAACAAAAGGCTAAAGTTGCTGATTCCACTTAAGTACATGCAAACACTTCATGGGATTAGTTCTGTTGGTTCAAAAGCTCAGGGTCATGGCTTCATGGGACTGTCAGGTCAATTGGCCTAATACTGTTTTTAGAGTTACTGTTCCCCTCCCTAGTTTGGTGAGTAGTGCCTGAGGTCTTAAAAGCTTGTGAGCAGCCATCCAAGATACAACACTTAATCTCTATTTGCCTGGAAAAGCAGAGGAAGAAGGAGATCCAAGAATAAGAGAAGGAACTAGATTGCAGGTTTTACTGTCTCCATGAACTACTGCCTCCTTTGCTATGGAACCAGAAGAACTGGATGGGGCCTGGCTACCTATCATTACTGAACATTTGATCAAGGAATCAATAGATGAATCCCGATCAAAAGGGTAAGATGGAACAGAATTTCAAATTCTTACCGAATCCAGACTTACTGGACCTATTGAGACTGGAAGAATCCTTGAATCTATCACTCTGAGAAAATCTTCAAACTGTGAACTGAAATTATCCCTTGAAGTCACCTTTAAACTAAACAACTATTTAGCTAAATTAGCAAAGGCTGTTCACCATGAGCACTGCGCTCCTTTGAAGAATTATCTATATAAGATCAAATTGTCAACAGTAATTCTAAAGCATAAATGAGAAGTTTAGGGGGTAGTGGGTCTAAGTCAATGCTAGGGAAACAATATGGGGAGACAGGATGGTGATACAATTTGAAGAATGTAACCAATGTTATTGAATTATACATGTAGAAGGTGATGAATGGGTGTATGTTCTGCTGTGTATATTTTCACCAAAATTAAAGTAAAAAAATTTAAAAAGCAAACACTAGATATCATGTTATTTTATCCCTACATACTTCAATATGCACCCCTACAAAAAGATGGCATTTTGTGATATAATCACAATGTCATTATTACGACTTAAAAAATAAATAATTTCTTAGTAGTGTCATCTATACATTCTCTATATTCAAATTTTCCCATTGGTCTCAAAAATGTTTTTATATAGTTGGTTTCTTCAAATCAGGATCCAAATATGGGACATTTGTTTATTATCTCTCTTTTAATCTAGAGCAGTACTGACCCCCACCTCTTTTTTGAATTATTGAATAAATCAGGTCAGGTGTTCTGTAGACTTTCCCACTTTTTGCTTCCTTATGGTGTCATTTGACTTATTTGCTTATCACCTGTATTTCCAGTAAAGTTGAAATTATCTCTAAAGACTTTGTAAGTTTTAGGTTCAAAAGTTTTTGGCAAAAAATACTTGGTAGTTAGTACTGAAAGAAGGAAATTTTCTAGGTGAGTTAATTAGCACATTGTAAATACTTGCTGAATGAATCATAAGTCACTGTAGCTAAACAAATCCCAGAAAGAGAGAGAGAAAAAAAGGAAGAAAACCAAAAACCTCAGTCACTGAGCCAGATGAGTAAAGCAAGTCTGCAACCCCACTGTTAGCTATGTTGACAGCTATGCTTCCCATGTTTGAAGATTCCAGATCTTATAAATAAATTTTTCTTAATCTATAAAAAAAAAAAAAAAAAAAAATACTTGGTAGGTTATGCTATGTGTCACATTGCATTGCACCAGGAGGCATACAGCGGCTGTTTGTCCCACTATTAGTGGTTCTGAAATTCATCAGCGGGTTTAGTGGGTCACTGCCTGATATCTCCATTATAAAAATTTCTATCAATAATGCAACCAATGGTTTCATTCAATGATGATTGCTGCTTGAAGCTACTGTTTCATTAAGGGTAACAAAATGGTGAATTTCTATTTTTGTCATTCATTCCACATTAGCTGTGATTCCTCTGTAAAGAATTTTCACTTAGCAACTGGGACTATTTTGTTACTCTGAAAGGTAGGATAAATGCTCAGTTCTTTCCTTTAAACTACAAAGCAGAGTAAGAAGTTGGTGCCTCAGTGTTTTTGCTTTGTTGTTTTGTTTTTGGCTTTTTCTTTCTCTTTTCCTGGAGAATCAATATGAACTTATGGGTTTTATCTATCCAGTATGTTTCAATCAATTGCAACCATTATTCTTTCTGATGCTTAAATTGACCCATCTTTGGCCAACAGTAGTGCAAGCTGGCTCTTGTGTTCTTTGACATGTCTCCACTGATCTTGAATAGCTTACTGTTTCTGGCACAAAAACATGCCTCAGATTCATTTTTTTGTTTGTTTGTTTCCTATTGCACATCTGTCATCAGTCTTCCTCCAAGGAGCCTAGTTCTCTTTATTGGGGAACACTATTCAGAGACCAAAATCTGGGCACCAGGTGTGCTCATTTCAATTATGTTGTCATTGTTTCTAGGCCTTTTCAGTGGATTGTGAGGAAATATGTATTTTGAAAGGAAAAAAATATGAGTTTATACTGACATTTCCAATTCAAATTTAACATCACATTGAAAATCTAGGTTCTAAACAATTTTAATTTACTTTTTTCCTTACAATATATAAAAAAAGTTTCAAAATGATAATACCATTATCACTACTAACAATAAAAGTACTGAATTAAGTTTCAGAATTTTTGGTCACTCTATTTATCCTTATAATATGTTCCACTAAAGATGTACAGGTAAAATACAGTGAAATAATTACTTTCTCTGTAATATTATGTCAACAATTTAATATTCAGATAAGATCATTTGTTTTAGTTCTTAAGAATTACTTTCTTCTTTTTGAATTAATATTATTTTTTATATAAAGCATTTACATGATTCCTAAGTCAAAACTGTATAATAATATTGAGAGAAGTCCTGTCCCTTACATGCTATTCTATCCCTCCCGATAGGTTAAAATTTTAATTAATTTCTAGCTTATTTTTACAGTTATTTCTTTTTGGAAATATAAGCATACACATACATATACATGTTCACTTTCCTCCATCCTCAACCACATTATTATACAAGAGGAGAATTATATATGCAGATAGATATAGTGTGTGTGCATTTTTTTCTGCTCTTTGCTCTTTTAAATTATCAGTATGCCCTGGATATAATTTCATATCAGGATATAGAGACATTCCTCACTCCTTTTTACAAAGGAATAGTATTTCTTTATATGGGTGTGCCACATTTTATTTAATCAGCTCCTTATTGATAGACATTTGATTGTTTCTTTTCTTTTACTACTGCAAAAAATGTCACAATGAATAATTCTGTGCAACTTTCACTTTGTATTTCTAGTTTAACTTTGGGATAGATTCCTAGATATGGGATTGCTGAGTGAAAATGGTAAAACACCCATAAAATTTTGTTACATATTGCCACATTCTTCTCCATAGGGTTATGCCATTCACTTCAATAATATTTGCTCTCCTACAGCCTCCTCGTCAGAATATGTTAATGAACTTTTGGATTTTTATGGGGCACCGGGAATAGTTGTAATTTACATTTCTCTTCTTATGAATAAAATTGAGCATCTTTTTGTTTACAGGCCATTTTTATTTTTTTCTTCTGTGAGCTGGTAACCTACGTTTTCGCTCTTTTCCCTTTTCCTCCTCGATTTTAGGAGGTCTTTGTATACTAGCCTTTTACCTATGATATAAGCCGCAAATACTTTCTCCTGGTTTGTCGTCTTTTAGCTTTGCAAATTTATGTTTTTTTAAAACCTATAGTCAATTTATTAACTTTGTCTTTAATGCCTCTGGGTTTTGAGTCACAAATAGGAAGATTTCCCCCACTTCCAGAGTATAACCATGCTTTATTGTAGTATTTTTATGGTTTTGTTTTTCACATTTTGATTGTTATATATTTGGAATTTAGCTGATGTGTGATATAAGAAAAGGATCCATATGTATTTTAAGAACAAAAGACCTTTATTTAACAAATGTAAAATTTAACTCCTAAATTATAGAGGCAGGTTATTATTTGGACCATTGGTGACTTGCTTGTATATTTTTCCTTAGGGATATTCTTCCAGAACAAATTTGCAAAGCTGAAGAAGACGGTGATTCAACTCTGGAACATCTTCATTTTGAAAATAATTACATTAAAACAAGAGAAATATCACCCTATGCATTTTCATGCATAAGATCATATTCAAGTATTGTTCTTAAACCACAAAATATCAAGTAATTCAAAATTCTTCTTTGTCATTTATAAAATGCACTCATATATTTGTTGCAGCATTTGTCATGAATAAGAGAGACATAATTCTCATGTTATATTCAGTATGACAGTCAGCCTGATACACCAATCCAGAGATGAACAACCAAAAATATACCTACAAGGTGTGTTAGTGAAGGTGAAAGAAACATTCAGTTTCCCACCCCGAGAAAGAAGTCATCAATTGCAAAGTTTGTCTCATGAGAATAGGATGTTATGCACTGCTACGCCAGACAAGAAGAATCTGGAACAAGACATACACATCCTTTATAATTAACCTGAGTTAATAACTCATAAGTTAATAACTCATTATAACTTCATAAATCCTTTTAAAAATTATATATGCATGTTACTGTCCAAGACCAAGAAGTATATTGGCAGGAAAAAAATAACAAATAGAATTTATGAATTTATGTTCTGTTTTTTATTCTACTGTTAAAACAGTAATTTGTTAATTTTCTTTAAGATCTTATGCTATAATTACTGATATAAATACACATAAGTATTGGCTTAGCTTTAGTTCCTTCTATTAATTCCAAGTGTGAAATTAATACTATTGTAAAGTTAATTTCCAGGTTTTGATCATTGTACTATGGTTACGTAAGTTGTTAACATCAGGGGAAGTTGGGAGAAGGGTATACATGTTTCTGTAAGTCAAAATATTTTTTAAAATGTTAACAAAACATTATTCTAAAATCTACTTTCATTATTCTCACTGGTCAAGATCAAAAGGTTTTATGGAAACCAGTGGAGTTTGTTTAAGATACAGGCTGATTATCCTTGACTATAACCTTGTAAATGTAAACCTAAAGCATAAATTTAAAAACATTTTTGCTCCATTGATGATAGTCAACACCTATCTCTTTTGCCCTAATTTGTTCAATGCATCGTTTTATTCAGATCAATTTAACATAAAGCTACTAGCACTCAACGATGTACTAGGCCCTACCAAAACCATATATTACAATTTTCATTATGTAACGATCTTTTATCTCTGTATTGCTAAAATAAATTATAAAAGGCACATATAGAAACTATGGTGACTTCTTTAATTTTAGTGTTAGTTTTGTGTTTTGAAAAAACACAAATTCAAGTCTTGGCCCCCCTATCAGTTACACCTTGGGCAGGTTACTCTAATTTATTAAACTTTAGTTCTATGATCTTTTAGTAGTTCAATCAACATCCTAGGAATCTTTCGGCCCAACTTCCCAGAACTGTTTGTCATGAGAATCAGAGAAGAATGTAAAGCATTTTTGAGGATATGTTGTACATGGTCAGTGCAGTTATTATTATAAAAATTACATATAAAATTGAGAGAAACAAGCACATTCGACCAAAGCTCACCATTTCATGGGCAGCTTTTGAAATGTGAAAGTTTGATTTACTCCATTTGAGCTAATGTTATTTCTAAGCCTTTTTTTCTAAGTCTCCTCTCTTAATATCTAGGGATCTAAGATTACAATATGAACAAGAATAATAATACGATGTAGATGTTAGAAGTAAGGGTCAAAGACTTAAGGCAGGTGGTTAAGAACAGAAATAGAATCTTATGAAACAGTAAGCTGAGACTCATAGTCTAAGAATGTAGGAGCATTAATTTAAAATGGCCAAGTAGAATGTAACAGACAGGAAAAACAAGAAGATAAGGTTATCTATTTATTTAACAAGAACGCTTGTGCAATTAATCTTGCTGTGAGAATATATATACACTGATATAAATAGCTTACAGCAATCTAAGCAGTAAACAAACTAGCTTCAAAGGGGACTTCAATTGAATACCATAACCCAACGGAATTAGCATGCTGGAAAAATACAGAGACTGACTCTGAACCATTCCTTCACTCATTTATTATTCTTATTTTTTTCCCATAAAAAATTTAGTGATAAATGTTCTTAAAGCAAACATTCTTCATGATATAATACTATAACAGATAGATGCTCTGTTTGGCTTCAGAAATATGTTATAATTACTAACACGTACACTAAGGAAATCCTGGTCCAGGCATTTATTAAGAATATTAACAGTATGTCATCTTTGCACATATGTACAGTAAGACCTGCAAAAAGCCAGAACCTGTGCAAGGCAGAAACCTGTCAGAGAAGGAAAACTCAAATATTTTCCACTAAAACAAGTGAGAGAAAAAAGGTAAGACTGCACCCTGTCAATGGCAGAAAACTTGTGAGACCCGGAAAAACAAGGTAGTCCCATTGAGTTTCAGCTCTCATAGGTTTCACTGTACAAAGAATGTTAAGTATATTTTTATTTTCAGATTTGGCTTATGGTAGATAAGAATATTTCAAATCAGAAGTTGATTTTGGTGAGCACTAAATATATGATACAGTGAAAGATATATAGCTTGGTATAGTAAGGAAATCATTGTACTAGGAGTCAGGAGATCTGAAGTCAGGAGACCTGCCTATCTTGGTCTCTAATGATCAATTATGCAGTCATTTTACTTCTCTGGAATTCATTCAATTATAAAATATAGCATTTGAACAGATAACTGATTTTCAACTATAGCTCACTAGGGGTTTTTGTTTGGGTTGAAGTGCCAATGAAGAACCAGTGAACAGACTCCAGCAACTCTCCCTTCAATCAGAGCAGCTTTGCTCTCATCAGTGGGAAGAAAGGATAGCTGCAAACTCCATCTTCTCTCTCTCTCTCTCTCTCTTTTTTTTCCCTTAAAACCAGTGGATTAGGTGCTATCTAAATTACATACCTAGTTTTAAAATTCATAAAGAACACGCAGCCAAAGTCCCCTGGTGTTTCCCTCCCACAAAACCTTCCCTCGTCTTTTCCCCAACCAGCTGCAAATGGTTTCCCCAATTCCCTCCACATTCCAGGAACACCCAAGACAAAGAACATTTGCCTTAGGAAAAGGCTGGCTCAAGGGTTCTGATTTCAGCTGCTTTTGATACTGCCAATCTGTCATGTGTGTCAGGGGCAATGAGGTTTAGTTGGTGTTTTTGTTCCTTTTGCTCCAGTACAATAGGGTGGGATTAGCCCTGAGGAGCTTGGCAACAACCAAAGACTACTGACAACCTGGCCTGAAACACATCGAAAGGCCAGTCAGCTGAGCAGTCATTCTGTAGGAAGGGGCACACTGCAGATAACAGTGCTGTAGAGATTACAGATAGCAGCAACATCGGTATAGTGCTCTAGAGTTCACAAACTGGGTTCACATCTTCAACCTCTTCTAAACCTCCTGCTATCTCTATGAAGTAGGCAGGTGAGAGAACTAGGGCGCAGGAGGATCAGTGGCACATGGAGAGCACCCGGTGAGTACGTGGCCAAGTCTGGACTTAACCTGCATCTAAACAAACAAACAAAAAAAACCAAACCCACTGCCATAGAGTTGATTCTGACTCATAGCGACCCCATAGGGTTTCAAAGGTTGTAAATCTCTATGGAAGCAGACTGCCACATCTTTCTCTAGTGGAGCTGGTGGTTTCATACCATAGACCTTTCAAGTTAGCAGTTGATCACTTTAACCATTGCGCCACCAGGGCTCCTTTTGCATCTACTGACTCTAAAGTCCATGCTTCTTCTACTAGACCAAGCTGCTTCCCTATGAGGGTTTGGATGGGAAATCTGGAAAATCAGGAGATTGGCATGCCACCCAATAAAAGGGAGAGACCAAGTGGTGCATATCTGACTCTAGGCACAGGGCACCTGGCATGGCAGATGTTGCCAAAAGCAATGGAGGAAGATTCTCAAAACAATCAATCTCTCCTTGAGTTGGCAATGTCAAATAACTCCATATATATCTTCTTATGAGTCATTCTCATTAAGTCAAAACTCTTTAAGATGACTGCTTTCGTTAAAATGAAAAATATCCCACAAAATTATATAATTAAATACTGCCTGTCCACAGAGTCCTCAGATCCTCTAAGAGGGAATCAGGTCCAGGGTGATTTTCACCATGTACACCTAAGAAATGGAATTACTCCAATAACAGTTTAATAATATGTAGTGTAAGGCTTTAACTTCATTTGGAAGTGTTAATAAATTATGATAATGCTTGTTTTAATATTACTTTACATTTGGTAAGTATGTGAAAATTTAAGCCACTGATTACAGACATATAGCTCAAGGATAAAAACCCAAGTGTTTACTGTGGCATACTTTGTGTTAAACATAGTACTTGTGTGCTGTAGGCAAAAAAGGCTTCCTTGAACTGACAAATTTAGATGGGGGTAATAAAGAAAGTCTGAATATAATACAGGATATAATTACTGCTAAATTATATAGCATATACACAGTAGTTCAGAGAAGAAAAAATCAACAGATTTAAGGTGGGCTATAAAATGAGATTTGACTCAGTCCAGAGGAAAGAGAATGACTGGCATGAAAGAGGGTGACAGCCACGTTCAAGTTTGGGCTCACTGGTCATGGAGGATTCCAGAGCCTGACTGTCCTAGGAAATAAGACACAAGGGGGAGCGGTCTGAGGGCTAGGAAGAAGAAATCACTTTCATGTTGAGGGCAATGCTAGCTCAGTGGTAGAATCCTTGCCTTTCATGCAGGGAACCCAGGTTTAATTCCTGGCCAATGCACCTCAAGTGCAGCCACCACCCATGTCTGTCAGTAGGGGCTTGCATGTTGCTGTGATGCTGAACAGGTTTCAGTGAAATGTCCAGACTAAGGCAGACTAGGAAGAAAGGCCTGGTGATCTATTTCCAAAAATCAGACAATGAAAAGCCTATGGACCACAATGGTCTGATCCTGTTGTCCACGGGGTTGCCATGAGGTAGGGGCCAACCTGACAGCACCTAACAACTAAATGTAGTACACCACTAAAAAGTTTTAAGGGCAGAGTCCTCAGAGGAGCAAATGTTTAAGGAAAGGAAAAGAACTACCCATTGCAATAATCTAGAGACAGAGGAAGTAGGAAACTAGACAGGAGAAGTGACAGTAAAATCAGGAAGAGGCAGGAACAGATAGAAGAGAGATTTTAAGGGAACTATTAGTAAATGTTCCGCTGCTATCCATAAAGTTTCCACTGGCCGATTTTTTTCAGAAGTAGATTGCCAGGTCCTTCTTCCCAGTCTGTCTTAGTCTGGAAGCTCTGCTGAGACCTGTCCACCATGGGTGACCCTGCTGGTATTTGAAATACTAGAGACACAGCTTCCAGCATCACAGCAAGAGGCAAGCCATTACAGTACAACAAACTGACAGACAAGAGGCAGTTGTTCAAACAGAACAAGGGGATGCTGCCTGGTTTAAAATCAGAAAATGTGTGCATCAGGGTTGTATCCTTCCACCATACTTTTTTAATCTGTATGCTGAGCAAATAATTCGAGAAACTGGACTATATGAAGAAGAACGTGGAATCAGGATTGGTGGAAGACTAACAACCTGTGATATGCAGATGACACAACCTTGCTTGCTGAAAGTGAAGAGGACTTGAAGCACTTAAAGACTACAGTCTTCAGTATGGACTACACCTCAACATAAAGAAAACAAAAATCCTCACAACTGGACCAATAAGCAACATCATGATAAACAGAAAACATTGAAGTTGTCAAGGATTTCATTTTACTTGGATCCACGATCAATGCCCATGGAGGAAGCAGCAGTCAAGAAATTAAACGGCGTATTACATTGAGCAAATCTGCTGCAAAAGACCTCTTTAAAGTGTTAAAAAGCAAAGATGTTACTTTGAGTATTAAAGTGCACTTGACCCAGGCCGTGGTATTTTCAATCACCTTATATGCATGTGAAAGCTGGACAATGAATAAGGAAGACTGAAGAAGAATTGATGCCTTTCAATTATGGTGTTGGTGAAGAATAATGAATGTATCATTGACTGCCAGAAGAACAAACAATCTCTCTTGGAAGAAGTACAGACAGAATGCTCCTTGGAAGTAAGAATGGCGAGACTTCACCTCATGTACTTTGGACATGTTATCAGGAGGAATAGGTTCCTGGAGAAGGACACTGTGCTTGGTAAAGTAGAGGGTCAGCGAAAAAGAGGAAGAGCCTCAACAAGATGGCTTGACACAGTGGCTGCAACAATGGGCTTAAACATAGCAATGATTGTGAGGATGGTGCAGGACCAGGCAGCATTTCATTATGTTGTGTTTGGGGTCACTATGAGTCGGAATCGACTCCATGGCCCCTAACAACAACAAAAACAACAACATCATCACCAGAAAATAGTTGTCTGACAAGATAAGGGATATAAAGAAGAGTAAGTCAAACAGGAAAACTCCTTTGAATCTCTGTGATGATGCTGTCTGAGAAAAAGGGACAGTTTGCAAGAGAACGTGCTGAACATGGGGACACAGGTGAATTCAGGCAAGAGAATGGGAGGAGTGGTACAGATATGAAAGCACAGGAGTTGGAACTGAATCCACGAACAAGGTCAGACACTTGAAGGGGCGTATGAAGAGAAGAGCAGTTGAGCCAAACCTTAATGGGCATTTACTTCAATTTCAAGGAAGAAGCGATGGAGCCAAGTTCACTGCAATTATACATCTGACTGGAGCCCTGCTGTCTGACCTCTCAGGAGCCAGCTTCCAAACCTCAACATAAGCTGCACCTAAAATCATCCAGTATTTCCGCTCTTCTCTTAGCACCTGGTGTCTGTGCCACAAGCCTTGTGACACTGGTATTGTTAGTTGGTTTTGTGTTGTTTCTTTGCATATGTGGGGGTGCTGCATGGTATTTGGGTAAAGGAGTGTATCTTCTCCAAAGGTTGTAAAATTTAGGAGAACAGGAACAATTCATTTCAAGTAGGTGCTAAAATGACTGTTGCGTAAAGAATGAGTCCCACATCCTTTGATGTTCTAGTCTAAACTAGATCAGCTCATAAATTGTCCAAAGCAGATATTAATACCACTAAACAAAACAGGAATCTGCAAAATCTAAGGATTTTGAAAGAAAAATGAGAAACTGAACTGAAAGATTTATACAGGGTTGTAAAATTAATATGGAATAATTATAGTTATTAGTATTTCTTGACCGACAGCAGAAAGTATAAAGTGTATTTTTTAAACAATAAAGTCATGCTTTGACAACTGGTAAAACTTAGTAATCGATCTGATTTTTGTGCATAATAGCAATATTGACTGTGTCTTCCAAGGCCATCATTTAAACATACCATGAATTACGATGTTCATAAGATGCTAACCTAAAAGAATAAAATA